CTATCCAAAGAAATTAGAAAACCACTGAATAAGAACATAACGACAAAAATAAGTATAACAACAATCAGAGCCACAGCTAAAAACAAAACTAAAACTTATTGATATAATCAAAGAATGAAAATGAATTGTCTCTACCAATTTTTTAAAAATCTTTTGAAACCATTTGCGAATCTTATTTATGCCTTCTTTTTGTATACGTCAATAATATTTGATGAGTGTTACAAAACAACATTAACAAATGTCCTCAATTATACATTAAAAAGTGTCCGAAATTCCTATTCATGTTCGACACTGTATTTTGTATGAGCACCAACTCCACAACAATGCAAGCGCCACTCCCCGCAATATCTGTACTACTCTCAGCGAAGGCAGAGTTACTGGAAGCATATGTCATGAATCGTTGAAAAGGTTGCCGAACGGCGATGTGTAACTTGAGATCATCTCAGGTCTGGACGTTCTCTCAAATGTAATTTGACAACTCTGGTAGAAGACAATCCGTGATTAACCACCTATAACTGTCACTCATGCTTCGCTACAGCTAATCTGTCATCGATCGTCACTTGCAGCAAAAGGCAAAGTCAGTAAACTTTGATCATGAGTTCCACACCCTCAAGACTTCGGACAATACCCAGCCCAGGGTATGGATGCACCAATTCCACTACAGAACTGAAGGAATGAGTCCTCCTCTATCTATTCTGAGAGGGGTATTTGGATCCTCATCTGCCTATCCTAGGGAGAAGGTCTCGGGTCATCAAGTCCCATATTATGGAGGTATCCTCAGGTCCTCAAGTCCTATGTTAGAAGGGGGTGGCTAGGGTGTGGGTGTGAGTTTGAGTTTAGATATGTAGAACCAACCTCACCCCGCCCCCACAACCAACCCCACCCACTCACAACCACACCACACACCCACGCCCACCTACACCCACCCTTTGTGTTTTAATAATATTCGGAAAAATGACTTAACTGATACCTCAATGCTAGAACATATCTAAATACGATGAGCCACAAATTAGTAAAAAAGTGAATTTCTCTCTCTCACTTTTTAATAACAACTTACTCAGAGAAAGAACTACCTCTCAAAACAAAATCTTTGAACAAGAAAAAACAATCTCGTTGTTCGAAATTTTGAAGTTTGACTAGTTTTTTTTTGACATGTTTTGATCCTGTGCTATGGATCTTAATCACGAATCTAGAATAAAATACAAAGATTCAAAATTATAGAGAACATTTAAAGGAAAACATAGAAGTAAGTGTGTGAGTGTAGATGTGGTCCTCATAAGAACCTCTCACATCCACACCTACATCCCAACTAACCCACATCTTCAATCCGATTTTATTTGATCGTCAAAGATAATAACAAGAATGACAATAGCGAGATTAAAGAACGGTTCCTGTAGTCAAATCTCTGATCTTAAAGGAGGATGTTGAGAAAAAAAATTGAACATCATTCACTTGAGAGTTGACAAATGACTCTGGTATTTTAAGTTGAAAGTAACTTAATCGATTGAGCATAAGCATTTTGCTAGAGAAATCGTTTTCGAATAGTGTCGTGACTGAAAATTCTTCACAGGAAGGGGATAATCCATCAAAAAAAGTTTTTGCAGAGTAAGCAGAAATCTGCTGCACCGTTGAAATAGCTTGTTTGCTCGCGAACGATTCCAACCTTTACCAGACTCATAGCCATGCCATCAGTTTCATTGATCTTTTCTTAAATTGGACATGTTTATGTCGAAAATAAGATTTGGAGATGAAAGTTGAACAATTAAACCCTTGAATTGAAACAAAGACACACTCCAAAGTATAGATGCATGTGACTGGCTATAGAGTGTGACTTTGATTTGATCAATATGCGGACTTCTGTAAGCTGCTTTTAATAAAAAAAAAACTATTAAAAACAAAATTTGTCCTTGAAATTGTTCTAAGTCGTCATTGCATAGTGAGTTGATGATTGACAATAGCAATATTCATCTTTTCAATTATGGCACGAGCCTATTAAATGCTTATATCGCAGAAGCAATCCTATATTGCTTTTACGACGCTTTTTTCTTCTATAAAGATTACTTTGTTGGAGAAAAATAAAGTGCTTAAGAAAGCAGTGGGGTAATATCGAATTTCTATTTATCGAAAGATCATGTCGTGCGCTTCTTCATATTCGACAAATGCAAAAAAAATTACATATTCATCAGATATAAAGACGGGTGTCGCCGCTATTCTATCTCATTTCAACACAAGCGATGGTTTCAACAGTAATTCGTTGTATCGTATTCGTTCTATTCAGGTAATTGTAAAACCTATTTTTTTCTATTCATCTAATATTGAACAATGTTCTTTTTCAGCCTTGCAGGTTTGATTCTTGTTTCGTTTTACATGTCTTGCTGTTAATTTAGTATGTCGCTAGTTCGAGTGAAATCTCAATTCTGTCATGGGATTACGCAATATGATCGATGTTCGCCAAATAGTGCGTGTGCCTGTTTCCACATAGCAGGTGCTATTGACATTGGCATTTGTAGCGATGAATTCGTGGATTGTTCTGAGCTAGTTCCATGCGAACACTCCAACAATCTTTGTCTTGAACCTAACCATAGATGTGTTCATCATCCTCGATGTCATAATCTTCCTGTTTGTTATCCAGTGCCGAGTTTCAATCGACAACTTTGTCCACTGATAGCAAGTAAGAGAGCAAATAGTGATCTATAGATTCAAGTGACAGCCGAATCTTTCTTAATGTTATTTTTTCATCGTTCACACACCCTCACATATGTAGTTGATGTTGATGTAGGAGCAGTGAGGAAGAGCCGAAGAGGCTTTTGAAAAATGTAGATAGAGCGTGGTAGAGACAAAATGAAGTGTAATTATTGGAGAAAAAGTTTCTTCTCTTCTCATGGACTGTATTCATCAATTTAAAATACAGAGCCTGTTGTATTTATATCTACTAATGTATGGAGACATAGTGAAATTTTGAATGTACATGAGAGATCGAAACAAATTGAACAATTGATCATCCGATTTGATTCACTTCTGTAGATCATGTCATATATTAGTATCTTCATAAGAGCATATCGATTCTATTGTGCCACGCCTCTCTTTTTTATTCACAGTTTTCATCGTATATTCGACTGATTCTTGCGAATATACTTGCAAAATTGAAGACTGGTCATTTGGCTGCGACATAGTAGTCGGTAGAGTTCTAGAGAGCTTTAATAATTGAATGGGATAAATAGGTTACTAATGATTAGTAATTCAACTGTGCATGTGAATTGTTTTTCACAGCTTGTAACAGCACTGACTTAGCTGTGTCAGTAACATACTAATAAGCGGTGAATGTATCTTGCCGAATCATCTTTGAAACGGCTAGTTCCTTTGGAAATTATACTTTAATATGTCGAAGTTTCGAAATTTTTTTTGATAGAAGAATGTAAGAATTCAGACTGTCTGATGGCGAGAGAGATGAGAGAGAGTTCGTAGCAATTTATCTTTACACTATTATTCTGTTCTTTCGAATATCCTTTTAAATTTATTTCACTTACCTGCTGATATAACAGCAAAATATTCTAATGGTTTGAGATAAACACACTGGCAAATGAGCGGTTTATGTGAGAGGTTGAATTTACAAAATTCATACTTGAAATAACTATTTTGTACTCTAATGATAGCCAGTGCATTTTAATCTTCACTCGTACTCAAAATATAATAGAAGTGGTGAATTTGAGCAGGATGGTCTCGATAGATTCGGTTCAATTCAATTCAATTCGCTTTAATCTGTTTCAGCCAAATCACATCGAATCGAATTGTCGAAAATTTTACTGACTTTTTGGTCTCTAATAAACACAGAAGTTTTCCATCAAAGATTAGTTTCGCAAGAAAAAAAAGTCGCTTTTTAAATCATTTGAGATCGTCGCTCTACTTTGAAACACTGTTTAGGCTTCACCTAAAACTTAAATACACCGAATTCTATATTTTCTATGATAATGAATAGCGATGAATAGCACAACTACAAGTACGATTCCAATTACAACTGCAACAACACCGACAACAACTACAAGAGCTACCAAACAACCAGGTAAGCATTAGATTAACGCTTTTTGATCTTGCTAAATACCATTTTTTAATCAAGTAATATAGTTGCTTTGTATGCAATATTACTCTGCAGCTAGCTAAAGGTTACATTCATAAGATAAACGATCTTATATCATGAGTTATTCAACGTTTACCATAAGTAAAAACCAAGTAATGGTAATCTTCATGTTGGCTAGTTTTTGTCACTATTGAAGCTTGATTCGTTTTGTGGACAGCTACAATATGAAATCCATTCTTTCTCTTCATTTGATACTATTACATACACATGATACCTTTTAATAGAAAATGCTTTATTTGAATTCGAAAACTAAAACATTTGACTACAGATACCATAAGAATCTACTTCATTCTAAACATCTTCTCGTTCTCATCTTCACCTGAATTCAGATAATCTTAAAGTCAGGTTTCCCAATTCTGTCAGACACATATTCTGAAGCATTTCATTCATAATTTTGACTACCAAGATCACAAAGAGCTTCCTTTTAATTTTCAGTAAAGAGTAAACATTAGATGAACCATAAAAGACTATATCAAGTGATGTTAATGTCAAATTAATAGTAGTATTAATAGCTAGATATGAATAATTACAGCGAAATGATAGTTCAATTGAGCGAAAGTTAGATAATGTGTGCTTTAAGATAGTTTTGCTTAACTTCTGTTTAACTCGATTAGATAATGATACACTCTGTGATTGTACTATTCGAAATGATTTAAGTTTGATCAGAGTTTTGAGTTGTTCAATGATGCGATTAAGTTTTGATGACGGACAAATATACACGATCGAAGATTGATAAGTATATTACATCGATTGAAAAAGAAAGGAATGACTGATGAAAAATCACGAAGTTGATCTTGAAGTGAAAGAGAAATGACTTGATGGACATGATTAGTAAGATGAGAAGTAAGAAATTCAATTTGATGACGACAATAACGTTTTGAGACGACAACATGGAATTGAGTTAATGATAGAGTCAATGAAATACGTTTATTAAATGAGGAAAATGCCATGAAAAGATCCAAAGCACATAAATAATCAAAAATATCCAAGAATAAATCATTGGATAAGTCTTCGAATTGAGGAACGAGACATTTTGTTGTGTAAAGAAGTCAATTAAAGTGAATATCACTATCTCACGGGCATTTTCTCATCAAGGTTATCACAACGATGAGAAAGATTGATACTTATGGTTAATATCTTGTTCTGGTTCTTATGCAAATCGTTGAAAAAGCTGGATTATTTATCTGAACTGATGTTTTTTTTTCTTTTTGAAAGCATCAATGCTTTCTAATTCGTCTTGTTATTCTCAATCGGTCAGAACTCTATAATCGATTTTTAATCATTAGAAACACCGTTAATCACTCGATAGGTTGGATCTTAAATAATTGATTTACTTGAAAATTTTTTTAAGCATATCGTTGACGTTTGATAATTTGGGTCTGGATTAAACTTCTTTCTCATTTTCATATGTCTTCATTAAAAGGTTTACATTGCAAAAATCTGGTATCCAACTTTGAAATATAGATTATTTGCAAAAGCACTGCATAAAAGTGACCACGTTTACCTGTTTCACTCCTTATATGTTATACTTAAACACAAGTAACGCTCGTCAGCATGACTCGCTTGACCCTCGACTGAAGGA